GTTATAGAGAATATAATTCTTGTCCCATCCTATAATAAAACAAGCTTTAAAGTCCTTTGTTAGAAAAAAGGAAGAACATGTTGTGAAATTCATCGCCAGGTATTCATCAATTCGCACTGAGAGTGGTGCTGAAACCGATAATTTTGTCGGAAGAGTAATAGTCATTCTTCTCGTTTTCGACATTCTGCTAGGTATCGCCATCAGTTATGAAGTCAGAAAAGACATGCCCTTACGTAACTCAATGCGCTTTTTAAAACCAGACTGATTTAACTAAAGTGAGTCAACTTGCTCGAATATTGGGATAGCTTCAGGTGATTTACCCGACTCGTGGATTATAAATTGAATATTGAAGTTTTACACGCATACGGTGTCCACCAGGTTGCGCATTAGACGGAATTGTTATTTGGAAATGGTTGCGCCCTGTACCGTTTAAAGTGACCGTATTCAATACGGCTTCATTCACTGCAAAAATGCGATTGTCATCGAAATCAATCCATATAGCTACCGACACGCCGCCGCTACTCAAACTAGATATTTGAACAACATATTGTATGCCAGTGTATAACAGCACTGTTTCCTTTCGACGATTGTCATACGCGGACGCACCTACGCAACCAGTACTGGTATCGTTTATACCTGTTCCCCGTTCGCCCATCAGGATGAAATCATTAATGGCGGCGCCCATAGAGCATCCATCACCTGCCGCGGGTATGCAGTAACCTTAAGTCAGAAAAGTCGAAGTTACTTGTGAATTCATAAAATCTCAATGTCTAGCCTCTTAAAAGACGGTCTAATATCAAGCAATCGTGAATGATTTTACCTTGTAGTACGTTAACACTATAGTCATGTGTCTCAGCATAGCCATCTGTATGATTTGCATTGCATGGATCCGATGGTTGTGCTCTCACTAGTTGTGCACGCATACGATGAAGACCCAGACCGGCATTCGCCGGAATCGACAACGAAAAATTTGTGCTAAATCCATTCCCCATAGCAGCAGCCAGTAATATTGATTCGGTACCCGTTTCAAAAAGACCATTATTATTCAGGTCAATCCATATCGATACCTTCTGAGCATCTTTTAAGAGCGAGTATGTGCTTGATATTTGTACAGTGTAATCGTTATCTTGATATAAATCGACTGATTCGTTCATGCGATTATCAAAAGCTGATGAACCTACACACCCCGTATTAATATCATTAATACTGGTGCCTAGCTCTCCACTCAAAATGAAATAGTAATAAAAAATGGTTCTCTATCTGATACAAATCTGGACATTTTTATTATTATAATTCCACTGAGCGCAAATCTTGGTGGACATCGTATGCGCGCAAGAGTGGCCTACCGAT